CTCAAAAATACACTTGATTTTAGCCAAAAGGCCGAGAAGCAAACTCTCTCTCAAAAGTTAATAACACATTAAAAATTTTTGAAAAAAAAGAAGTTGTAAACAGGAGCCAGCCCTTGAGGGGCACATGGCTGGCTCAATAGGTGGAGCATGTGACCTTGATCTTGGGGTTGTGAGTTTGAGTCCCATGTTGTGTAAAGAGATTACTTAAAAAAAAAAAAGAAAAAGAAAAAAAAAAGCCAGCCCTTGAGGGCAGCATAAGGGTCAAGCTGGCTTTCACCTATACACAACAGTAAACTCTGAAAAGGGAGAGACTTGAAAGTTACCTTACTCCTAATTGCAATCCCCACGTTGAAGCTGGAAGACATAGACTAGCAGACTGTATAGCTGAGCTATCTTCTAGAAGAGAGCCACGTATGAGGTGGATAGTACTATCTAAGCCAAGTCATAGCTGCAGGGCACCTCAGGACACTGAAGCCATTCCACCTATGCTCATAACCTGTTAGGACCACTTATGTGGGACTTTGGATAAATTATTTAACCTTTCCTTCAAGAACTACTTATTAAGCTGCTATTCTGTGCTGTACTCTACTAAGTGCTAGGGATACAAGAGTGAAAAAAAATAGATGAAAATCACTGTTCTTTTTGTGGTGGTGGTGGGGTGTGTGTGTGTAGAGGGGGCGATGGTAATGTTTCATGAGCTGGGTGCAGGGACTTGGGTGTTCAGTTTGTAAAAAACCATTGAGCGCTTACATGCACTTTTTGTATTTCAACAGTTTTTAGAAATCCATGGCCTTGAGATCATAGCAGTATTAAATAATTATGTCAAGCATGTAGAACTGTTTGTCATACAGTAAGCACTCAAAAAATAGTAGCTATTATCCCAGTGATACGTCTTACTAGAGCAAACTAGGCCATCAGGGGATGTTCAAGAGAGATTCTGCCGTCTCTGCTGCGAGGATTAATCCACAGAGCTCTCCTATAAACCAGTTAGGTGCAGACCACGCATCTGTAGCAAGAAGTGTGCTTTATGATAAAAAAAAAAAATAATGGAGCGCCTGGGTGGCTCAGTTGGTTGAGTGTTGGACTCTTGGTTTCAGCTCAACTCATGAACCCAGGGTTGTGGAATTGACACAGGGCTCTATGCTGAGTGTGGAGTCCGCTTAAGTTCCTCTCTCTCTCTCCCTAAAATAATAATCATAAAAACTAAGATAAAAAAATAAAGAGGCATTGGCTCACACTTGTGAACTGAAATGATGCAGGGCTGCTGTGACCATGTGGACAGTTGGATACTGCACAAAGGTTCCATATTTAAGGGACTGCCATTCGTGGTTTGTAAATTTATTATTTTCTGGTGGAATTCTGGTGATCAGTGTCTTATTCTGACAAAGCTGACGGTAAGACAACTTTTGTGAAGAGCACCATTTTCTGATGTGCAGAGACGCTGCATTGGAAATACCATCCAGGAACTGGGAAGTTGAAGAAACTACTTTCTAGGAATTGCCCTTTAGAATAAATACAGAGTCCCTGTGTATCCGCCCGAGACTACAGAGCCCCAATCCCTGACACTTGACTACCAGGGCCTGTGGTTCTTTTAATCACGGAACTAAAAGAAATGCTTTCTGGTTTACTCAACAGCCTTTGTGGTTCTGGATGTTGGAAGTCTTTGCCTAAGAGACCGGTCTTCTCTGGAGTTCTGACAAGTCGTGTTTCTGAGGACAAGGCACGGACATTGTGGCTTCATTGAGGCCCTGCCCCCTCTTAGCAAGGCACCCTGTGTTTCTCCCAGTACAGTAGGGCCCAGCTGGCCTCGTCTTAAGAACCATGAGAGGGGTGCCTGGGTGGCTCTGTCAGTTGAGTGTCCGACTTCGGCTCAGGTCATCTCAGTCCGTGGGTTCGAGCCCCACATCGGGCTCTGTGCTGACAGCTCAGAGCCTGGAACCTGCTTCAGATTCTGTGTCTCCCTCTCTCTCTGCCCCCGCCCCCCACTCGCTCTCCGTCTCTCAAAATAAAATAAAGACATCAAAAAATTTTTTTTTAAATCATGAGAGAGGCTTGTTAAGCACGTACTCCCAGGTCTGCAGCCCAGAAAATCTTAGGTGGTCCAGACATCTGTGTTTAACCACCATTCCGTGTGACTCTCATGTTCAAGGGAGTTTAGGAAACCCTGTCCTAATGGGATTTCTAAGAAAGGGACTAAAATCAGATTAACTGGAGCTCAGTCAGTCCCCTCATCTTATAGAGAGAAGGGGTGTGGGAAAGGGGAAGGCAATATTCAAGTGCAGAAAGGTGTGGTAGGGAGAGGAAAAGAAATACCTGGAGGGAAAGCTGGATCTCGCCTCTGGCTCTTCCAGGCTGAGCTGGGGGAGAGGCTGCTTGCTGGCATGGGTGGGTGGAGAGCTAGTGTATGCAACCGGCTTGGCTCTTGTTGGTAGTGTGTGTGGGGGTGGTGGTGGTAGTGAGGAACAAGGTGCTATTCATGCAGCAGCCACAGGTCAAAGAGCAAAGCAGTCACAGCACTGTCTGCCCTCTGGTCTGGGACTGGGCCTGGATTGGGTCGCTGGGCCAACACCCCAGTAAGGGGACAGGTCTTGTCTCATCCTCCTTTAAGGACCAATGAAGCTCTAGGGACTGATGTAAAGCAGGCACTGAGGTGCTGTGGGTCAGTGACAGAATGGGGGCATCAGAGACTAGCCACGAAATCCTAGACAGTCCAGGGGTCTGCAAAGCTTCCCCAGCCCTGGGCTCCAGCGCTTGAACAAAGTCCTCAGTGGGACCTGAGTCTTGACTGGAATCTCACTGCCCACAGCCCCTTCAGCACGGGGCAGTACCCATCCTGGAGATGGGTGGGGGCAGAGGGGCTGAACCAAACAAGTAGCCTCCTTCAAGGACCCGCTGGAAGCCTCACCAGCCAGAAGAAAAAAGCTCCCAAGTTTGCCCTGCCCTCTATGGCCTTGGCTGCCTGGATACAGGGGAGAAGAGGGCCTGAGCCCAAGCTACGAGGGGGGCCCTCACCCCCAGTTCAGACCCTGGAACATGTCACCAGAGCCAGAGTCTGGGACACTCCAGCAGCGTATCCCCTCCTGCCCACCAGGCCCAGGCCAGAAGCACGGAGTCTGGGTGGGTGCACTCAGGGGACCTGGGGGCAGGGGGACGCCGCCTGGCCAGGACCTTCTGCCATTGTCTCCTTCTAAGAAGCCTCCGCCTTTCCTTTGAAAAGAGGCTTGCTGGTGAGGGTGGAGTTCAGGCTAAGAAACCAAACCAGTTGGATGTGGAGCACGCTGCCAGTGGCGGGTGGTGGGGGAGGAGCTGGTGGCTTCGGGGCAGTGGAAATGCAATGGGCCCAGAGTCTGCGTGCCGGCTGCACACTTCCTGACGGCAGGACTTGGGCATGTCACTTAATCTGAGCCTCAGTTTTGTCTTCTACAAAATGAGGCTAATGGCAACCCCCCACACACTTGTAAGGGTTCAAGTTAAAGCCCTGGGAGTGTGCACTTGTCTGCACTATTGCTACTGAGGGCCCTGATCCCTGCCCTCAGGACAGAATGGGGCGGTCCCTGGGCCTCCCACCCCTTCTCACGAGAGAGGCCAGCTGGTTCCTCCCCTGCACCCATAGAACACGGTGTGACCAGCTGTTGCTGGGGGGCTGGGGTGTCCTCCCTTCCAGACTCCAGGCACAACAGCTAGAAGAGCAGAGTGATAAGTTGTGGTCATCAGGGAACAAGGTTCAAGACCAACAAGTAGGGCAGGAGAGGTGGGAAGGAAGGGCGGGATCTGGCGGGGTCACCAGTAAACTGGTTTACACAACAAAGGGGAAGGCTCTGGTCGACAGAGGAGAGGCAGGAGGGAGGGCGGCCAGATGCCCAGGGCGCAAGCGAGGCCCCTCCTGGCCTGGGGAGCTCAGAGAGTCCAAAGGCAGCTGAGGAGCAGGGACAAAGCCGGGTCCAGGGCCTCACCTCAAAACAACCTGGGCCTCGCCACAGCTGGCAGGCCCAGTGTCAATAAGGGGGTGTGGGAGCAGCCTCTCTGCACTTGGCCCTCCCGGCCTGGAAGGTGAGGGGCAGAAGGTAAGGGGCGGGAGAGCAACAGGGACTCCAGGCCCCTCTGAGGAGCCAGAAGGGACTTAAAAATCAGAACAAAAAAGGCCAAAAGGTTTTTACTCTGTGAGCCCTGGGGAGGGCCGGGCAGAGTGCAAGGTGTCCGCAGGAGGGGGTGAGCAGGGGTGGGGTGGCTGGTAGTCTTGCTTCCCAGCTGGGAAGGAGTGAGGGGAGGTGAAGGCCGGGCGCCCTCCCCACACCTGCCCCTCCGGAGTTCGTACTGGAGTCCTCGGCAGGCGTGAAACCGCTCGGCCCGCCCGAAGCCTGGCGCAGAAGAGCCGCCTGGCAGAGGGGGGAGGTCGGCAGGCTGCCGCAGCGGGTCTCAGCTCTCCCCTGGGCCTGTGTCTTTCCCGGCAGGAAGCCGGCGCGGCAGGGAGGACCTGGAGCGGGACAGCCGCCCGCCTGCCCGCCAGAGCTGTGCCCGATTCCTCAGCTTCCAGGTCGGGGGTCGCGGTACAGGGGGTGCTGGGTTAGGCTCAAAGCTCATCCGGGGGGCTGTGTGTGAGGGGGGATGCCTTCTGGATGCCCTCATCCTCGTCAGAGCTGGGGTCTTCTCCGAGGCCTAGCTCCTTCCTCTGTTTGCTGCCACTGCCCGAGGCCTTGACCTTGCTGCTCTTCTTTTTAGACTTCTTCCCACCCAGGGCGGCTGTGTCCCCCTTCTTGCCGGACCACTGCTCTGCGAGGCAACCTGGGGTGAGGAGAGACACCCTCAGCAGACGGGTCTGCTGGCTGAGGAGCGCTGATTGGGTGGCCCTGGAAGCGGCAGCTGGCAGTGGTGCCCAACGTCCAAGTCCCTGCCTCCTGCCTGTCTGTGGCCCCCCAGCTCCTCGGGGCGGGGGGCATCTGAGTTATCTCCATGTTATTCTCCCGGTTTCAGTACCTCTTACTCTACACTGTCCCATCAAGCTCCTCGAGGGCAGAGAGGCTCTGGTGTTCTCTAGTTCTTATTTCTTTTCTGTCCTCTCCTTACCCACCTTCCCTGAAGGGGAGCAAGCAGTAAGACCAAGGGCCCACCCGCCCTGCCCTCCCTCTCCCTCAGACTCACTGGTGTCCTTGCCCTTCAGCACATGGTTGGCGCAGAGGAACTGAGTCAGGTCTTCCTCCTGGTGGTTCCTGTACCAGTCCTCGATCACCTCCTCAAACTCTTCCACCAGCACGTCGCACTATGAATCAGAACACACCGCATTGGCAAAGCCCCGGCATGGACTCGCCCCAGGGGGAGCTCAGCCAAGCCTCACAACTCACTGCAGGACAGGCGGGTGGCTGGGATTCTCCTGAAAAAACTGAGCACAGAGAGGTGAGTGAGTTGCCCAAAGCCTCCCAGCTCTTGGTGGCCTTCTTCAGCCCCAGGCCCAGCCCAGTCCCTACCCACCCCTCTGGGGCACGGTAGCCTGAGGGCTAAAGGGCCCTTACCTGCTTCTTAAGGTCAGCCACCTCTGCAGAAGTCTCATTCCACAGCTCGTAGGGGATATCCATCACCACCTTGACCCCTTTGTGGACCAGGTTGTGCAATGTCTCAAAGGTCTCAGACATACCCTGGAAGAGACAACCAGGCATGAGAAGCCGAGAGCCTTCCCCGCCTCACACCCTCCTCTTTGGGAGGTGCTGGAGGCCCAAGGACCCGGCTCTGAGAAGTCAGGACCCTCCGGCTTCTCACACTCGACCTCACCTTCCTCTCCCCTCTTTCAGGCCTGCCTCCTACAACCCCTACACACCTACATCTACACCCACACCCACCCCATCCTGCCTCCCCACACCTCCACCTTTCAAAAGGGGCTGCTGTGGGGGGTGCCTGGGTGGCTCAGTAGGTTAAGCGTCTGACTCTTGACTTTGACCCAGGTCATGAACTCACAGCTGTGGGATGGAGGCCCGCGTTGGGCTCTGCACTGAGCATGGAGCCTGCTTAAGATTCTCTCTCTTTCTCTCTCTCTTTCTCCCCCCCTTTCCTCCCCACTCTCTAAAAAAAATAAAATAACAACAATAATTTTAAAAAACAACCCCAAAAAGGGCTCCTGTTATCTTCGGGGCCTTTGAATAGCTACTCCTTTCCCAGGAACGAAGAGTGTCTTGGCTCTCCCCCCTCATTGTGTCACTGTGGCCGGGAACACTCACGCCCCCTGGCCAGATCCACTCACTGCTCCAGGTTCTTCCCAGGGCTGTGCCTTTCCTGGGTTGGAAGAGGGCACAAGCGAGGCAGGGAAGACAAGGCTCCGTAAAAATATTTTGGCCAGCTACCTAGGTCTTCTCCCTGGAGACTACACCTACGGTGATCTACTTCCTCTATCTTTCCAGAGGTAATGCATGCAACTACAAGCGAATATACATACAAATCTATCCTGCGCTCCTCACCCCCACTTTTTACACCAGCGTGGTATAGAGCAGACACACTATTCTGCACCTTGGCCTTATTTACTTAATAACAGACCTTGGAGATAATTTTGATTCAATCCATAAAGAGCTACCTTATTCTTTGTTTTGTCCACTGAACGGCAATATCAATTTATTTAACCACTGGTGGATGGTTAGGTTGTTTCTCATTTTATTGCTATGGAAAATGATCTTAAACATTTTTTTTAAGTTTATTTATTTAGGGGTGCCTGTGTGGCTCAGTCGGTTAAGCGACCAACTTTGGGTCAGGTCATGATCTCATAGTTCATGGGTTCAAGTCTGACGAAGGTCTCTGTGCTGACAGCTCATAGCCTGGAGCCTGCTTGGGAATCAGTGTCTCCCTCTTTCTCTGCCCCTCCCCCACTCATGCTCTGTCTCTATCTCTCTCCCTCAAAAATAAATAAAAACATTTAAAAATTTTTATAAGTTTATTTTGAGAGAGAAAGCATGAGTGCGGGATGGGCAGAGAGAGAGAGAGAGAGAGAGAGAACCCAAGCAGGCTGCATGATTATCAGCAGAGAGCCCGACACAGGGCTCGAACACATGAACTGTGAGATCAAGACCTGAGCCACAGTTAGATGCTTAACCAACTGAGCCACCCAGGGGCCCCATGAACATTTGTATATTAAAGCAAAACCTGGATTTATTACTGAGTAGAATACAAAATTCATACAAAATTTTACAAATCTAACACTTCTGCTGCTTAAGGCTCTCTAGGGTTCCCAGGGGTTTCTGACTAATCAGCTTCACTGGAAGGGCACTCAGGTGGAGAAATGCGGGCAGCAAGTCTCTTACGATGTGCCAGGCACTGAAAATGGAGAGACAAAGAACTAGGGGCCTTGTTGTAAGAAACTCCTTCCTCAGGGACAGAGGCATTCGCGCATAGAATAAGTGCACTAAATGTCACACAGGCACCCCGACAAAGGTCCAGGTGGGTGCCCTGTGGGCCCAGGGGAATCAGGGAATAAACCCCCCCTCCACACGCTGCCGTGTCTTCTGACATCTCTAAATCCCACAGGTCAGTACTCCCTGAGCTCTCACTGCCCAAGTATCCAGGCCTCCATGGGGGCTGCCACCCTGCAGCATTTCGGCCTGAGGCTGAGACAGGGCCCTGATGGGCAGCCCAGGCCATGAAGAATGTGTCTATTGCCACTGAAAAACCAGGCCACTGTGTGTGGGGGGGGAATGCACACCGTGATCAATGACGAATGGGAAGAGGCCAAGGGGGGAGACCCCAAGCGTGATCTTCAAATCACACCCACACCGGTGGCCCAGAGGCACCTGCAGGCCTGACCCCAGTGGGGATGAAGGACAAGCATGAATCCAACCTTGGCAAACCGGTTGCTGCCGGTCCTCTCCTTGTGCAGGCTATAGTCCAGGAGCCTCTTGCAGATGGTCTCAGTGACTTCGATTAAGCGTAAGTCCCTGCAGAGACAGCAGCGCGAGAGGGACTGAGCTCCTGCCCCGGCCCCGGCGGCCCTGCTACCCCAACACCTGCGCGTCTCAGCAAAGGGAAGCCAGAGCTGGAAGGAAGATAGGTCATCTGGTCTGGGGGCCCTGAAACGCTGGAACACAGACCAGAGAGGCAAAATTGTAACAGCTCTGTGGGAAGGCATTTTTTATAAAGCTAAATGATTCAGTATTTAGATGGCTTTATAAAGCAAAATATTAAATTTTGTTGTTAAAATATTTCTTTTTGTTGTTGTTTTAAGATTTATTTTTAGGGGCACCTGGGTGGCTCAGTTGGTTGAGCCTCCAACTTCAGCTCAGGTCATGATCTCACGGTTCGTGGGTTCGGGCCCAGCGTCAGGCTCTGTGCTGACAGCCCAAGAGCCTGGAGCCTGTTTCAGATTCTGTGTCTCCCTCTCTCTCTCTGACCCTCCCGTGTTCATGCCGTCTCTCTTTCAGAAATAAATAAAACATTAAAAAAATTTTTTTAATTAAAAAAAATTACTTTTAAGTAATCTCTACACTCACTCAATGTGGGGCTTGAATTCACAAGCCTGAGATGAAGGGTCGCATACTCCATCAAATAAGCCAGCTGGGAGCCCCCAAATATTTCATTTTGAAAGGACGATCATGACTGATGAAAGGCTTTTGGGGGGGGTTATTTTTGGTATTTATTCCTGGCAAAATTAAAAATTGGTAATCCTATGTTACCAATTTTTTTTTTTAAATTTGCACTGGTCCAAGTAATCCAAGAGTCTTATCAGATGAGATAAGGCCCAACAGTCTTGCTTTGACAGATAAGGAGCGGAATGAAGGGATTTATGAAGCCCACACAAAGAGCTGGGGGCAAAAGCAAACTTAGGTGTTGGTCAGAGCCACCTCCCTTTGGTGGGTCTGCCTCGCTGGAAGGGAGAAGGGAAGTCCAAGCATCTAAAGCCTTTAGGAACAAAGCAGGCCGGGCTAGTGGGTACCGTTTTTCACTTACGACTTGGTGTATTTGACTCCGGAAGCCTTCCGGTCCAGGATGCCATAGCCTGTGTCGATCACCTCCTTGGTCTTGCCGGTTTCCTCAAAAGCTGACTTCAGCTCCACGGCAACGTACTTACACACTGGGGGCGGGGGACACAGCACAGCCCACTGAGTGCACGTGAGTCTGATAGGAGCCAGCACCCAGCAAAACACAGTAAGGGGGGGTGCCTCTCCCGGACTGGGTCAACACTCCAGGCAGGGAAGGAGTTAGCCTCAGACCACCACGTGGAGGCCACTGGGAGAAACTCGGCTCCAAGACTCACTGCCCCGTGTGCCCAGTCCTGGCCCTTATCCTAAGGACTCCATTTCTCCCAGCTCCTTCCTGTCCCCCCACCCCCACCACCCTCTGTAATCATTTTACTTTAAAATTTTCAAACATACAAAAAAGCTGAATGAGTACAATGAACAACTATACATGTTCCACTCATTTCAACACTTTGTTAATGATTTGCTACAATCTCTCTCCAATACATAATATAAAATAATATGATAATATAGTAATATATCTCAACAATATTCACTGTTTTTGAGAAACCATTAAAAATGATTTTTTTAATGTTTATTTATTTTTCAGAGACAGGGCACGGGTGGGGGAGGAGCAGAGAGAGTGGGAGACACCGAATCCAAAGCAGGCTCCAGGCTCTGAGCTGTTGGCACAGAGCCCGACACGGTGCTCGAACTCCCGAACCATGAGACCACGGCCTGAGTCAAAGTCAGACGCTTGACTGACTGAGCCACTCAGGCACCCCTTTGCTAAACCATTTTAGAAATAAGTTGCAGATATCATGATCTTTCACCCCTAGAAATGTCCTCATGCATCTCTGGCGATTAAGGACCTTCTCCATGACAACCATACAGCCATACCAATACTCAGAAAATTAACAATAATTCCAGCTTCACTTAATACTCAGTCCACATTCAAATTTCCCCAATTGTCCCCAAATGTCTTGAATGCCTGTTTTATTACTTGATCCCCCCCCCCCCCCCCCCCGTCTGTGTCTACTGTTTCTGTACATTCATCTAGTTTCCTCTTACTCTTCCTCAGTTATTAAGCAACTCCTAGGTGTCAGGCACTGCCTGGGGATTCACAGATGAAAACAAGGTTCCAGATCCAGTCTAATGGGGTAGAAAGAATTGTAAACAAATAATTACCACTGCATGAGGAGTGCTACCACTAAAAGCGTGACCTGTCCAAGGCTCCGGGAGCACACTTAATGCCCTCTAGGGACTTTTCTGCCCATTCTCCCAACTTCAAAGCCTCCTCCTACTAGAAAGCTCTTCTGGACCAATCCCACATGCTCTTAATTTTATCTGGGCCTCTTCAGGATCCATGCTCTAAGGGCCTTTGGCCATTTTGTGTCTCCCAACTAGACCATAAGGGTACCCAAAATGAGCATCATGTAATTGGATTTTTTTCTGTATTCCCCTAGTCTAGGACTCTGTGTGTTGGATACTTAATAAATATTGCTGAGAGACTGTGTCTGTGGTCGAGCAGCTTCTGATGCTTCTGAATGAACATGATCTATAGGCTAAATGCCATCAGGGTTCTTATAACACTGACAGCAGACTTTGGTAGGAGACCAATTCGCCACCGAAACAAGCACATCCCCTGAAGGCGTGCTTGGTAATATTTTATAACATACCCATTAATAAATGGCTTGGAGAATCTGGACCACACGAAAATGCCAAAATACAAGCTGGGATCTCAGAGTCTGCAATGAATTCAGGTGGCTCACCTCCCTGGCTCTCGATCCAGGACACCTGTCCCCCTCCCCTCTCTGTTCTGTACTATGTGAGCTCATCACTTCTCTGGCTCTTTTGCTCCTTTCTCCCACACCCTCCACGTTTAGGATTCCAGACCCTGGGGACCTGGAACCTCCTTTCTCTCTTGTGCCCATCAACCATAACCTTGCTTCTCAGCTCTTCCAAACCTTACCTTTTCAAGACCCCCTCTGGGGATCCCACCCAGAACCAGATTTGGAGGAGGCTCATGGCACCGGCCCCAGATTCTCATGGACACCCACCTACTCTTTTTCTGAGCAGCCTTTCCCTCCTCTGTGCCAAGGCCTATTCCACTGAGGCTACTGAGCCAGGAGGCAGGCTTTGTGGGCCAGATACAGTCAGCATTTAAAGTTTTATTTATTTATTTTGAGTGAGAGAGGGCATGCGTGTGCGTTTAAGCCTGTGCAAGTGGGGTGGAGCAGTGAGAGAGAGAGGGAGAGAGAGAGAATCCAAAGCAGGCTCCATGCTGTCAGCACACAGCACAACGTGGGGGCTCAAACTCACAAACCGTGAGTGACCTGAGCCACAACCAAGAGTCAGATGCTTAACTGACTGAGCCACCCGGGTGACCCTGAAAATGCCTTTTAAATTAATCTTTATCAGTTAGCTACAGAATGAGGTTGGACTAGAATCATCTCTTAAGATCTTTGCCAGCTCTCTGCTTCTCAGTCTGTGAATGCCTCCTAATGGAAAGAAATGTGAGCTTCTTAGATTATGAGGATAATTAGAGACACAGTGGAGACTAAGACTGAAAACAAAGAGAGGAAGTTAACCCCGCAAAGGAGAGTTCTAGAGAAAGAGTGAAAGGAAAGCATCGCAACTCTCTGCCTGTCTATTTATGGGACTGAGGGACAAGGTACAGGCTAGCACCCATACTGGGAGCCCTCCCAGTGAAGTCGGCTCATGTCTGAAGTATCTCACCTTTCATCTCTCCAAAGAAAGGATTATGTGTCCCAAACCACCCCACCCCCACTTCCCAGTGCTTAGGGAACATCTGGCCTGCTGTACCCTGTGAATTGGGATGAAATGGATTTATAGCCAACTTTCTGAGGGGTTTGAGTTACAGAGATGGGAAGAAAGGAGTGGCTGCGAAACTCTGAGGAGAAAACAGAAATGGGGGGAGAAAGGCATTTCACAGTCCTAGATGGCTGACTTGGGTGCTGGTGCTCTTTCTCTCTGTAGTTCCACACCTCCACTCCTATACCTTTGGGATTCGTTTTTCTCCTTATTCCTAAATCCTCCTCCTCCCTCACCAAATTCCCCCAGGTCTACTCTTCTCCCCTAAGGCCTCAGACTTTCTCTTTCCTGAATACACACCCATAGTCCCTGTTTATTCCTATTTATTCCAAAAATAGTCACTGGGTGCGTACCAGGCACTGTGTGAATAAATATCTGAGAAAAGGTCCTGCCTTCAAGGAGCTCTCAGCCAGTGGGGGAGTCCATCAATTACACCAATTAGTGAGGGCACAAAGGAGAGAGTCAGGTTCTTCTTCCCCTAAGAACAGTCATACGGACGTTTTCAGTTCCTCAAACTTGTCTGTCCTTTGCTTCTTAGCCTGTAGGCCTCTGCATCTGTGGTTTCCCAAGACATTCTCTCTGTTCACTTCTCTTCGCCCTGCGAAGTCCTAATTATTGTTTGGGTTTCCTATAAGAAGTCTTTCCTGACTTCCCTCTACACACAGCCTTTCCCCCCATCAGTAGGCTAGATTAGATGCTCCTGACTCGGCCCGCAAACCCTGTATCTATCATGGCATCTACCAACCCTGGATTATAACTGCTTCTTTTGTACCGACTTGAGAGCTCCAGGTGCACCGAGACCTGCTCTCTTGCCCGCCCCCGTGTCCCCAGCGTCCAGCACAGTGCCAGGCACACAGTGGCCTCAATGAATGAAGAGACTCTAGCTCAGGAGGCAAGGATCTTGCACCCACCCCCACCCCCGCACGCCCCGCCCCTCCGGCAGGATACTCCCGGCGGGCCCCGCCCCCTCACCTTCGCATTTGCTGGGGAGTCGAACCCAGTCGGTCTCCTCGGCTTGCGCGGGGCTCGGGCCCAGCTCCGGGGCCGGCAGTAGCAACAGCAGCAACAGTAGCAAGGAGAAAAGCAGCAGACAGCGGGGCCGGGGCCGGGGCGCGGGCTCAGGCGACGGCTCCATGGCCCAGCCGGACCCGACCCCAGCGGACCGGGCTGCGCTTCCTCCGGCTGAGCGCGCGGGGCAGCTTCCCGGAGCCGCTTCCGGGACTGCACACGTGCCTCGGCGTAACCAGGGCAACAGGGAGCCCCCGGCCCGCTCCCTCCTCCGGCCGCCCCGGCCCGCCCTCCGAGCCGACGGAGGCCCGCGGACTACGCAGCCAATGGGTTTTCCGGGGCTTGCCTCCCAGCGAATGGGAGGGCGAGCTTTTTTAGGCCTCGACCAATGAGGGAGCAGATGGTGTCCTCAGTTTCCTATGGCAGCATCTTTTCCCACCCACTAAGGGTGGCTCCGGAGGGGCTGTGGGACCAAGACGCCGAGCGGGGCTGGGCCTGAAAGGGAGGAGGTCGGGCTCGTTGGTCCTGGAAGAGGTCTGGAAGGCGGTCTTCACGGCGTTCGCCGCCGCCTCCTTGCGCGTCACTTCCCTCCCGGGGTCGTAATGCAGCCAACCCTTAAGTGAGCACCTGTCTTTAAATTTTATTATTATTATCGTTGTTGTTATTGTTGTAATTGCTAACCACTAGTAGGCTGTGTGGTGAGACCTTGGCGACTCAGTCTCCAGCCTTCAAACAGCTTCCTTAGTGCCCAGGAACCCCAGATTTGTCCCCCGAGAGCTAGAACAAATTACCTCCCCTCCGAGCCTGTTCTCTTTCTTTCCCTCCCTTCCTTACTCCCTTTCTCCTACCTCTTTCATTTTTCCTTCCTTCCTTCCCTGCCTCTTTTCTTTAACTGCTTCACTTTTTCTTTCCTTCTTGCATTCCCTCCCTCCTTTTCTTTCTTTCTTTTTTAATTTTTAAATTAATCCCTATACCCAGCATGGGGCTGGAACTCACAATCCCAAATTCAAGAGCTGGATGCTCCAGGGACTCAGCCTGAGCCTCAGTATCTATCTGTATGATGACAAAGGATGCTCCTAGCTGCTATTAAAGACTTTGTTGTAGGGGCGCCTGTGTGGCTCAGTCGGTTAAGCATCCGACTTTGGCTCAGGTCATGATCTCATGGTTTGTGGGCTCGAGCCCCGCGTCGGGCTCTGTGCTGACAGCTAGCTCAGAGCCTGGAGCCTGTTTCAGATTCTGTGTCTCCCTCTCTTTCTGACCCTTCCCTGTTCACACGCTCTCTCTCTCTCAGAAATAAATAAAACAGTAAAAAAAATTATTAAAGAAAAGACTGCTGTAGCTGGCAAACTCAAATAGGTTTGTGGAATTAAAGCTTATTGACAGATTGTAAAAAATTCACACTTTTTATTTTATGAGTATGTGACCTTAGTTCTCTTTTCTGCCCTATTATTTATTTCTTTGGGTTCTGAGCTCCCACAAAGCAGGGACTTGGCCAATGAACAATTGTATTTCCCTTCTACCTCCCCAGCAACAACAGGGTGCCCCGCACAAGGAGATGCTCAATGGGGCCCCATATCCTCACCAAGAGGAGGACTTTCTGGGTCTTTGGGGCTGCTTCAGACTGCCCCTGAGCTCAGTGTCCTAGGGACACACACATACCAAGGCTGCTCTTCTGAGAAGTTGTCTGCAGGTTACACTTTTGTCTGCGAGGCTCTTTTCCCCAGTGCCCTATCCCTAGATGTTGGATATTTATACTATTTTATGAAGTCTTCAAATGACTGATGCTCAGCCTTTTGACTTGTTATTTCCTGATCTTGGCTTCTTGCTCAAAACAATTGTGCAAGCGGCAAGGCTCTTTAGATATGAGGGGCTGTGGTATGTATAATTCTAGAGCACACGGGATCAGGACACCCTTCTGTGATCCACCATCGCAGGCTTCTCTAGGCTTCATAAGACTTGGGGAGACTCAGAGCCTGGTCAAGCCTGGTGATTTACCAAGTTCCAGGAACCCTCCTGGGAAATAACGTTAAACCAGACACAGTAGCAACTGAGTCTGGGCCAGGACAAGATTGAGGGACTGGGACACGATGAGGAGGGGCATTGAAGCTAAGGAAAGCTCTGATTCCAAATGAACAAAAGGACGTCCGAAGGACATTTGCTGAGGCACAAATCAGTTTGGCAGGAGCTGAGGGCTGGAAATGGACAGTGGCTGGAGAAAGCCTGAGGTTATAGCCAGACATGCCTCTGCCCCAAGCCAGCCTAGCTTAGGCTTCTTCTCAGGTTGTGTGTTGGGGAAGGAGCAAGCCGCGTGGGGATGGTGGACAGATTCATCCCCAGAAGTTGTGGGAGACCCCTCCTTGAAGAATCCAAAAAGAGGCAGGATCATCTCCTTACTGGCTGGTGAGAGTCGAGCAGTGGAGCAGACAGGATTTTCATGGAACAGTAGCTGAGAGGGCACAGAGGCTCGGGAAAGCTGGAAGTGTGACTGATACCGTGTGTGGGGGTGGGTGGGTGTGGGTGTGTGGTGTGCGGTGGGGGTGGATATTAGAGCATTTGCTAACACCACCTGGGGAAAGGAAGACGAAGGCAACACCACTGGTCCAGCAGATTGTCCTGTGCTGCCCAGGGGGCACCTGGATTCACACGAAAGCACCCAGGGATCCCTGGGGGTAATTACCAGAGAGGAACCCCTGGAAAGGCTGGATTTCCAGCTAGTGCTGGAGAAACAGGCCACACAATCTACTGGGGGGGGGTGGCGGGCCTCATATACTATCAGTGCAAGAACCCTCTTTAGGAGACAACAAAAAAAACCTCTTTAGTGACTAGCTCAGGGTTAATGCTCAGTGAATATTTGTTAAGTGAATAATGACTCTTAACTGGTTATTAAGGTGTAAGTTTGTAATTAATATCCATGCTCTTGGCATCGTATATGATCCTGTTACCCTGGGATCCTGGCCCTGTTCATTTCTGTCAAGTCTGTACAAAACTTCACATCAGACCCAGCACCCCACCCTTCTGATGTCCTGGGCTCCTTGCCCTGACCTCTTGCAAAGGCTGGGTCAGGGTGGGGAGACAGAGAGGGAGCCTCACCCCATGCCTGCCTGTGGGAGAAGGAGACAGAGGTAGGACAGCATCTTCCTCAAACCCTGGCATTGCTCTATAATTCTGAGAGTCACACCCTCAGGAAGCCCTCTTCCTCCAGGGAGCCCTCCCAGATTTCTGCTTCTTCAAAATCTGCCAAATCCCCTCCTCCCAGGGCAGATGTGAATTAAAATGTTTCATTCATTTGTGTCATTTAAGCTCCCCTTTAATTGCTCTCCATTCTCTGCACCTCAAATGTCCCAGTACCTGTGGATCACCACCCTCAAGCAGCTCCCGGCCTGAAGGGAGAGACACAGCCTCCTCCCTCAGAAGACCCCTCAGTCTGAGGCGGGAGACAGCTCCCAGTGCTGGAAATTTCCATCTGCAGCAGGAGGCAGGTCACATACAAAGATTGCAAGGCTTGAGGCAGGGATGCAGGGTGACTCACGAGCACCAGGCCCAAGCTCGGTGGGTAGGGAGCGCCCCCTCCTCCCAGACTAGGCTCCTGGCCTCCCAGCCGAGAAGGCGGGGCTGCAGCGACATGGTGAGCCCTGGGCTTGCTGTCCCCCCAGCGCTGCGGGGAATCCAGGCGATGGGGGCTGAGGGCTGTCCTGTGGACGGAGGCTGCAGGAGGCGGTGATGCTCCAGGGGGGACATGGGGGCTGCAGGAAGCCCAGGGTCCCCCAGCGTGGAGGGCAGGGCGCGGAGGCGGCTGCAGGTCAGGAGCACGTCGATCAGCAACAGCTTGAAGAGCAGCAGCCGCAGCGCCCCCAGCCGCAGCGCCTGGCCCTGCGTCCCTGCAGGAGACAGATGGGCAGTTAGGGACCTGGAGGCCCGCTTCAGCACCACCCGCAGGAGGGTGTTCTTTGGGGAGGAGGGGCCTGGTCCTCTGCCCTTGCCCTGCCTCCTCCCCACGGTCCCCAAGGCCAGGGGAAGTCCTCCCTGGTGTCTAACCTCAGCTCTAACTGCTAATAGTAACATATACCTTCCTAGCCTTCAGTGTATTTTATTCTCCAGCAGCCAGGCAGGAATTAGCATCTGCCGCAGCGGCAGATAACCAGCTCCAAACACTCTATGTGGTGAGGAAGTAAAGCCTGACTCTTGACTCTCTCGGTCTGTTGGGTGGTGGGACTGTCTACCACCCAGTCTCCCAAGGCTCTGAAGCAGAGACCATCCATCTGGGCCGCACAAGGAGGGCTTTAAGGAGCTTTCCGTGAACTCTGACCTACACCTTTCAACTACTGTCCAGGGATTAGTCAGGGATCAGAGGACCCAGTCCCATTTCCCCATGGGTAGACTCCAGCCCAGGCTGGCCAGTGTCCCAGCCCAGCAAGGCAGCCTCTTCAGGGGACACCACCAACCCCCCACCCCTGCAGAGTGGGACCATCAGGCCAGACCCTAACAGAGCCCGAGATCCCCCATACTCACCCCTGAGAGGCTCCCAGAGGCAGGTCCTGACTGAGGAAGTCTCTCCTGCCAGCCAAGGAGAAGAGAATGAGTCTTTGGGGATGGGCTCTGCCCACCACCCAAGCATGAAGCCCCAGCCCAGCACAGGGCACCTGTTCATGGCATGTTGGGTAGATGGACACATGAACCAGCAGCAGGAGCCTGGGCTGTAGTTCCTCTCAGGGGCCCAGATCTCTCTCACTCCCTGCGGTCCACTGTTCTGTGCCCGGGAGAGGCTAAGGTGCCTCAGAGCTTTTAGACAAGAAATTGATTTTCTTAGCACCCTTCTTTGAAAGGCGGGGCATTGGGGCGCCTGGGTGGCTCAGTCAGTTGGGCGTCTGACTTTGGCTCAGGTCATGATCTCATGGCTCATGGGTTTGAGCCCCGCGTCGAGCTGTGTGCTGACAGCTAGCTCAGAGCCTGGAGCCTGCTTTGGATTCTGTATCTCCCTCTCTCTCTGACCCTCCTCTGCTCACGCTGTCTCTCTCTGTCTCTCAGAAATAAATAAAAAAAACATTTAAAAAAATTTAAAGGCAGGGCATTTATCCAGCAAACATTGCCGTTTGGAAGATGACAAAACTGTCATAATCCAAAGAGGAAGTAAGGGATCTAGTAAAAATACTAGCTGGCTTTGGACATGTCACTTAGCTTCTCTGTGCCTGTAAGGTACCTATTGTATGAATGTAAAGTACTTATAACAGTGCCTGGCACATAGTAAACATTAAGGAGATGAAAGCATTTTG